TCTATCATGACGCATGATAATGTACCTGGCCAGACCAACATCCGCGCAAAACCCACAATACAAAACTCCTATGCTCTGACCTAACTGAAAGCACACTGAATCTTAAACCATGCCGCCACAAACGCCATTTATAAATTCTCGAAGCCATCATCACCAGAGAAAGAATGTCTGGCTTAACACACGCTCGGGTGAGAATCAAATTGACTCCGAAGGTTTTTTCCGGAATGGTTTCCCAACGACTTGGCTTAGCCGCGCCAAATTTTGCATAGCTGTGAGCGATTGAATAGTGGATCGTTTGGTATCAAAAATTTAGATTTACCTCGTAAGGTCGCTGACCCACGGCAGGCAGGTTCAGGCCATAGATTCAGCGAAGCTGATTTATGGGGAATCGTTTAACCTGATGCAACAACGGCGTGTTAGACAAAGCCATACATCTATGAGCTACGTTCTTAGGCAACGCAAATTGAAGAAACAAATTCCATTGACCTAGGATAAAGTATAAAGATCAGTCCAACGTTAAAACCAACCTGTTTTATTACTGTAGGGTTTGCTGTATGAGATAGTTTCCGGTGCTCATTTCGGATTGATTGATAAGAGGAGCCACATTATACATCATCCACGGACTTCTTAAAGGTCGGAATAGGCCACTGACCTAAAATGACCCAGGTCAGCTTTTTGTTGGGAACATACTGCCTATCGTAACCTTCGTCGCTTATTCAAATGTAAAATTCATAGCAGTCTTGCACGATTTTGGTCACCATGGCCTTCAAACAAGGTTGCTGGCCTTCAATGAGCATGTGACCTTTCCCTTAGAACAGGTATCTAGGTTCTTGAAGCACTTTGGAGACCAAACTGGAGTTTGACCTTGTTTGACCTAGCATCAGCATCACAACATCACAGCATCACAACCTATTGACTTCAAAGTTTGACCTAAATGAGTTCACGTTCAGGCCAATACACTCTGCGAATTTGAAGTCTGTATCTCTCATAGTTTCTGAGATCTCGGGAGGTCAAACTGACCCCACCCAAGCGGGGGGTATCCAACCGGCCACTGGGCGCGCGTTAAACAAACAGCTTAGGTCATGCATCGCTTTGGACTTGTTCAGTCACCCAATGACAGCAGGTCAATTCGATACCTCGAACTTGCGATGGTGACAAACAGGCTGGAAAAGTGACGTGTGTGTGTTTGTATGTGTTTGTCATTTGACCTCATGGTCGGATGTATAATCTGTTAACTGATGGTCCACCTTTGATTTTCGTAGAGCATGCGTCGTTTTTTTTCGTATTCGAAATTTTTCCGTCCGGCTATCTAACATTGCTTTGACAATGGGGAACGAATGTCCTTGAAACGTTAGCTGTAGATAAGCCAGTAGTAATAGCCTTATTCCTCGGAAAAAGATTAGGAGAAAAGAGATCTAGTTGTGTTGGTATTTCGGCGACATACCTTCATCAAAAGGGTAGTAAAAATGTAATTCGTTTCAATAAAATACTTAGATAATAAAACAATTTCTGCCATTTGTTCAGATAAAGGCATGTCACCGAAATATCAGCGCATCTTCATCTCCATTCTCCTGGTCTTTCTGCGAGGAATAAGGCTATTACTACTGCCTTATCTAGGTGCATAATATTTCTTGCAAAAGCACTTAGGAACTTACGAAACCCTAGCCAGCTTAAACTAAACTAAACGACTATATAGGCAAAATAATTTATGACTTACCGAAAGCAACGAAGCGTTTAAATCGAACAATGGAGCAAACGCGCAAGAAGCTGATTGTTATCTAAAAACTAAAGTATCTTAAGCTGAGCCTCATCAACTGAACATCTAGATGTATCTTCGCTTTTCGGCGGGGAAAATGGACGGACTTACCTGCGCTGACAATCCGCCACTGTGTGTCAAATCAAGGCCGCATGTTTCGTACCTTGAACCTGTTTTGGATATGCATGGTTCTAACACCACGATGTGTAGCTTGGTCGCTAGCTCGTTGCGGGCTGAGTGGTACATGACTCATCAAACGCGTCGTCTGTCAGACCTCGCTCGACGCGGCCAGACGCAGCACAAAAATTCTGGGAAGTCTGAGAGCCCGTGTACTGGCGGCGCTAGCTGCAAAAGGTCAGCCACACGAAAGGTCAGAAGCACCACTTAGACAAGCGTCTGAAGAAGTCGGTGATGTAAACCGTTTAGCTCATGCCTGAGCAACGGTGTGCATCCATTGGATGGTTCGGAGTGAGAGACTAAGGGTGAGAGACGACTCAGAATGACGCTCGGAAGTCAGTGGAAAAAAACAAGACACGTAGAAAAGAATAACAGAGGAAATGCAAGGCAAGGGGTAGCAAAGAGGTAAAAAAGGGAGTGGTGCACCGATTCTCAGTTATCTCGCCATTCATTTATTGACATGTAGCACTCCACAGAATATGAAGGTAACATGAATTTAGCGGACCAGCATGGGGGCAAAAGTCAAGTTAAAACACACACACGCACACACACACAGTCAAACGGAAAACAAATTAGAACATACGCTTTCCTGAAAAAGCTATTAGAGCATTGGCTGCCTAGACTTACATTTTGGCGAGCCCACTGGCGGTACTTCGAGCGAGGATTTGGCTGGCACTGCCGCAGAGCAGCGAAGCGGTCGCGGAGAGCCTGAACCGACACTGAGACTATTTGTGAGCATAAATTTATTTCGAATTGTTCTTGGATCCCTTTAGGTCCAGGGTACCGCTAAGCGAAACTCGCTGCCTGAGCTCACCGCCCGACTTGCTCCCTCCAGCTAGCCGATAATGGTGCCCCTGCTCTTTCCCCAGAGGAGACCGTCGAGTTTGACGCCCCGCACATGATGTCGAGCTACCGCCCCAGGTCTGTGTTGGCCCTCGCTGGCCAGTTGACAGCTAGACTTTCCGTGTCAGTTGGTCGCCCTGGGACCTCGCATGTCAATGCACCCGTCCTGGTGCTCACTCCAAGTGCCACTAAATAACGAGTTCAGCATCTTTCCGCCAATCTGCAGAGGCAACAGATTGCCGAGCGCCTTCATGTAATTGGGTTGTGGTTAATTATGGAGGATGCCTGAAACTGCGGGTGGAGAGAATGAGCGGTTGCAATTCGTGTTCCATTAATAGCGTATCGTTAGTTCACCGGAGCAGAACAGGTTAGTGGGAATATTTCACATTTCGAGATATTGAACCAAGCATCAGTCGGGATGAAATAAGCTCACTTACCTTTACCTTTTACCTATGCCTTTTTATACATACCTTTTACGGCTACCTTACCTATATACCTATATTTACGGCTACCTTACCTATATACCTATATATACCTACTGGCATACTCCTAAGTGGAAAAGCTTGCCTTAGACAAGACAGTCTCTCTGTTTAGTAAATATGTTCCTCGATACGTCATTGTTTGATTATGCCATCGCATTTCACACAGCAGTGATTGGGAGGCAATTGATGGCCGTTATATTTTGAAATCGTGCCCACGAACGCCATATATGAACGCCTCGATCATTATATCTTCCTCGGCCTGGATTGCCGCGTGGGACATGGACTGGCAGATATGAATGACGTCATTATGGTATCATTACTGTCGAGGCGACTTTGAAATACTCTCCCAGAAAACTCTCCCCTTTTCATGGGCCTGCAGCTCAGAAAAGAGAGCGGTTTAGATCTCAAAAAGGGCAGGGCTGTGAACTGCTTGGGAACGTGCTCAAGATCACTATTTCAATTCAAAACTCCGTGCAAATGTGGAAAACTCTCTTTAATGTTAAGTGTGTCAGCAGTGCTCGTCTGAGGTCATTTGATGGTAGGGGTTTTATACCTCAGTATTTGGCTAGCGTAGGTGCAGGGCAGGTTTGGCTTGTGGTATTCGCCACGTGCGCTAGCTTTCAAACCCTTGTGCATTTAAACCGAAGAGACCCCGAGTGCGATCCTGCACGTACGTTTTTCACTCTTTTGCACCTGTGTTTGTTGTGAAAGGGTTGGAGACTGGGTGTTTGTTACCTTCCACAGTTGAATGGACAGGTGTTGTTAAGTGCGTGTTTGCGAGGTCGAATGGTGCGTATGGATCTTGTGACCTTTTCGCCGATGAACAGGTAGTAAGATAGTCTTACGTATCCTACATAAATTATAAACCCTCTCCGAAACTTAGTCTGTCAAGGTCATTCTTTTTTCACATGAACGAATTTCCGACGTCTGTGGAATGGTGGCTAAGTAAAAGTGACATAGCTAGGGCTTTCATGGCGACCAGAGCTGAAGCTGCTGAGAACGAACCGTGTGACAAAGCCCCCAGAGCACCTTTCTAAGAAATTGCATGGAAACACAGCGATCCATGATACGCTGGTATCGCAGTCAAGTCTTTAGTGTGTGATAAAAAGGGCATGCTGAGTTTGGCTGAGACATGAAAGAATTTAGGACGCAATTATAGGCTTCGTAGGGGGCAAATGGACTCAGGAAAGGAGGGTAGATGTTCGCAGAGAGTGGAGGTAACTGGTGAAGGGGAGGCTACCTTGATGCATAAGCGTTGCGTCAGAAGGGTAACAGCGACACGTGACAGCAATGCTGCTTGCTGACCGGAGGGATATGGTTTGAGTTGTTTTTTAGAGAACTGGCATGGTAGCATATGGGCCTGAATGCCTCGCATTTTCTGCCGCGTCATCTTCTCACAGAACGAAGTTGAACGTCGTAGTTTTCCATGCTCACATATCTTTGTGTCGCGTTTTTTTCAGTTATGCCACTATATGCATATGCGATTCTTCTGATCTCAGTAGAATTCGCTCCGCGCCAGCGTCAGCCGCCATTAATCGCTCGCCAGGCGTATCTTGGTGGCTGCGTTTCGAGACGTACGTTATCAGTGTTACGTACCAGCTTTGTGCTTTCTTTCAGGGTGTTTGTTTATCCTCTTTCAACACCGGTCCACCGACCCGTCCCACGTGCACCCCGCGTGTTTTTCTTTGAAGAAAAGAAAAAGCAGGTCTGAGGTATTTGTGACTGCATTCCATGTCTTCCAGTATTGGATCAGACGGGTCTGAGCGCCGAGATTGCGAACTGGACGGCGATGACGGTGTTTGCTCCCACGAACGAGGCGTTCGGCCGCATCAAGCTGCCCAAAAGCCTGCAGCAGACGAGAGGTGAGTAGAACAACCACCTGGTACTCGCCTAATGCAAGGTGCCTGGTGGCCTGCCTGAAGTATGTGTGCTGTTCTTCCTTTGGCTGCAGGCTGCAATACAATAATAATGATGAATTCTTCTGCCGAGAATACCCGAGCCTTGAGCATAGCAGAAAGTACGTCGCTAAACGAAGATGTGCAGCAATCAGCTGCGTTTATCATGCGTCTGCCCATAACACTTTTCCAACACGCGCCTAATCATGATCGCTTAACCAGTGCTTCCCGGCATGCAAAAGTTCGATTACTTTCTGCATATGAATTTAATGCTGAAAAACCAGGGGTTTAAGCCTTTTCATGCTGGCATCATATGTAAGGCAAGTATGCATTCAAGCAGGGTCACGCGCTGCCATTCGTGTTTCCAAAGTTATGTGTGATGTGGCCGTGGTTGCTAAGAAATCGGATAGCTGGGTTAAATGCACGCTACTCGCGCTAACTGGCAAACACCACGCGATTTGAACGCCCCAGGATTCACGTCCTGGTTTGATGATACACAGCTGAATGTCCAATGAATTTACAATTCTTCGTTTCTGTGTGAAACTAATTTTTAGCACATGCACTTGTGTCTCTGGCTAGCATGCGACCATCTCCGTGCGGTGGCTTACTAGCCACAGCTTTTCGCCCCCTCCGTGAATCCACTCCATTTCCTTAAAATTCCTGCCGTTGCACATCAGAGCTAACCAGGTTGTCTGAGGGCCTCCAAGCCCGACCTTGTCCGGAGCCACCGTCTCGTCCACCAACGCCAATGACCTGCGCCGCTGGGCTGACCTTTTGACGGCCGGCCGTCTGCTCCGGGTGCTGGCTGTCCGCACCGCGGCGCTTTAGCCGAGCTTCAGTCCGGCCCTGTCGGTGGTTTTCAAACTGTCGGGCCCTGTCGGTGGTTTTCAAACTGTCCTGCGTGTGGACGGTGCCGCCATTACGCAGTTAATGCATCGTGGGCGGAATTTACGCGGCCGGCTATGCATGTGATCAAGCGATAAGACCAGCGATCGCAAAAATAAGGACGGGTGGTTTAAACACGTCGACATCTTTAAGCTTGATTGAACTTGTGACATGACGGGGTCTGGCAACTGGCTTCCTTGGGGTCACACATCTGTGTCGTTTAGACACAGCGTTCAGGACAGGTGCAATCAACGACACAACACCGTTTGCACGCTTTTAGATTTTCACTGGAGAGGGAATGCCAAATGTCCAAACGTTTTATGTGTGCCCCAGCTAGATAAGCATGCAACATTCATTACACCCGATAGAAGCGGAAGAGCCCAGTGTTCCTAGTATTTGTGGCAATATGAGCTGGCATACTGAAAAATCGACCTGCAATTTACCAGTACAATTTACCAGTACAGTTTACCAGTACTTTTGAAGCGGCGAAATCAAACGAGCATTGGTGGCCATGTATCGTGATAATTCCCCACACTTTAAAGTCGCGCTCCCTGACACGAGTGAACGTTAAACGAAATTTATGCTTTAAAGACGTCAGGCCTATGGAAAACAGAACATGTTCCAAATCGGTGCCGAACCTGCCATTAAAGAGAAATTCAACCAATCAACCACGCGGACTACCACATCTTAATACACGATGTGCGACACTGTGATGAGAGGTGCTCAAACACAGGCCGCCAAACCGAAAGGTCTCCTTGACCCGTATGACCCGCACTGAGCATAAGCCAATAACGCGCCTGTTATCAAGCCATAGTGCACTTCCCAAGAAAATCAGCGCCATCATTCAGTCAAGACTTTCTGACACTCGACACACGGCGCCTTCATGTGAGAGGGCTGCACGGTGCGGACGTGGTCGCGTCACCCATAGTAGAGCGCCAGCGATCACGAGGGTTATATAAGCGCCCGGAGGTCATGGTGCCGTGCCGGAACGGAGGCCGGGCCTCACGCGTGGAAATCAAGCACGCTTCCATCTCAGCTATTTATCCTCCGATGTACAGCATCGTGGAAAGGGCGGAACGAAGCGCGGACGGTTGAGCTGGCAGGCTGTGATCACCCGAGTCGTGTGTGGGGTTAAAACGCAGGTTGCTACAGAACACCTCAAGCCCTGTTCACTTATGACTGGGCACTGTCCTGAAACGTTTGACAATTGCATCCTATACATAAAAACGGCTGATATCTTCGTTTAGCCCGTCCCTCTTGTTATATGTAAGTTCAGCCATTTTCGGTTTGACGTCTCATGAAGCATCCACTACAGTTGTAATTTAACAAGGGAAATGTACATCCGACTACTCCGAAATGCTTTCAGGCGTCAGATATTTCCGTATCCTTTGCAGTCAGTGCGCCGTTGCCAGCACGTGCTGACTTAGTGGACCGTGCGGTGCTCGGGATATGTTTGGATCCCAGCAGGGGCAGCCCCTGGCGAGAGTCGCCAAGCACGTTATTTGATTTCGGATGACGCGTGTCTCTGCATCACTTTCGCGTGCTACACTCGCAGCAAGGACGAATATTACCATGCACTTACACGCACGTGACCTGCGGTATGGCATCGACCTGACCATGCGTCGCATTCCTCCGTGCGGTACATCTCACTCCATGTTCGACTGACGCCCGGCCAGGCCCTCCCCCATCTCGCCAATAAGATCATTCCGGACTGGAGCGGCTGATGCTGGCCCGCAGCATGCGGGCTTGATAAGCCCGTAGGTCTTTAGCGGGTGTTCCTGGCTACAGTTCGGGTGATGGTCTTCTCGGTACAAAGGGCTTTCAAATACCAGTTTAGATAAAAAAGGACCTCGTGATCAGTGCCTTCAAAGGGAGAACTACTAACAACTGTTCCTGTCGGGAATGTTTGTACGCAGAGTTCGCTATGCTGATGCAGATTGCGTCCAAGAACGGGGTTTCCAAGGTAAACATCGATGATCAAATTGAAAGGCATGTAGAGCGAAAACCAAAAACTAAAGCTAAGACAAAACGGCCAAAAACATCATTCAATTCTACTGTCGCAATCACATGTCATTATCTCGCAAAGTGCACGAGCGCATTATTCAGGGAACTTTTCAAGACAGCGTAGCGTGCACCAGTGCGATAGTTCACCTTCAACTCACCATCATTTATAAGAACAGGAAAACAAGCAACCTTTCGGCAGAAAAAGAGGTGACGGCCAAGGACATTTTCAAGGCCACAGTGTGGTTCATCAATTCTCCTGTTCGTACGACAATTGCAGGCTTCGTGGGATAAACTACATTGGCGTGACAACTACTTTTTCCAAAGCGACATACTATCCGTCTTCGAGACGAGCTCCAAAACGGCACATGACACAGTGCCACCAAACAATACGGACGCCAGGTAATTCTCCGAAAACACAACAATCACCAAAATCCAACACACCAAAACACGACTGATGCCATTAGAAGCCCTATACAACCGCCAACATGCCACAGCACTCAACAAACAACTTATATCCTTCGTTCCACTCGCACATTTGGGAGAGATAAAAAACCCCGATTTGTGTGACCCGTTACACTTGTTTCATGAGATACATTGTGTTTTCATTTGAATCATCAAATATGTATGAAGTGTTCTTTTAATCGTGTAAGACATAACAAATCTGCTTTGGTTGGTTTAAGGATGAAACTGAAACGCAACGTTTTTTATGAATACGGGACAAATATACGACCGTTTATGTCACTGAATTTAAAGATTTAATTTTTGGACTTCAACGAAACACAAAAAACTCACAGAAAACATCGAACGAAACAACATAAAGTGTGCTTCAGCCCAAAACTTTTTGGTCTTTAGTGAAACATATTTAAAAGGAGGTATTTTGTCTATATATATATATATATATATATATATATATATATATATGTGTGTGTGTATATATATGCATATATGCATGTCTGTATATATGTTTATATGTGTGTATATCTACATGTATATATATACATATTCATAATCTCCGTATATATGTATATATATATATGTATATATATATATATATATATATATATATATATATCCATGATCTCACATATGGAACATGCTCGGATGGTAAAAGGTAGTAAAAACTTGATGGCAAGGACAGCAGTCAACAGTACCTTTTATGTAGCTTTAACGTTTCGATACATTCCGCATCACCATCAGAACGAGTGCAAAGGTACAAGTTCAATCAAGCTACATTCAGATATTCGAACAGTCAACAGACATCGCTCGGCATAATAGCGGCCACAGTTACACAAATGAACACGACCTTTCTGCGCATAAACAGGACAGATTGAAAAATACAACAACAACAAAATCACGCGACGAAGCATCCTTTTCACTCCGTATGACAAAGACTATCTTATAATCTGCAAAGGACATGCAGACCCCATGATATTCAACAGCAGCTTTTGTTGGTAAATGTCAAGTGTCTTCAAAATCATCAAACCGAGAGAATCACTGACACGTCCTAACATGGAAAATTTTCAATGTTAGAGCGAGTGTCACACTCAAATGAAGGTCTCAGATAGGCGAAGAGTCTGGCACAGCCAGAATGTTGTTTGTGCGGTCAGGCCTTCCCGGATTTTGCTGCACTCTTCAACGCAAATTACGAAGGGTAAAATCCACGTAAGATGCTCCACACGAAACGCAACAGTATTTATAAGTGACTGCAGAGGCTGAGCATTTGGGAAGCTTGTCTTTAACTTAAAGAAAGACACAACTGTAAAAGAGGAACTAAAGTGAGTCTAGGGGACAGAAAAGGGCAAAATCTATTATAGTGTATTTACAGATTTTATATATGATAAATGAATTTAAAACATCTAAGAAATAAGTTGAAAAAATATCGTTCAGATTAAAGCTTCAAAATCAGATTATTATAGCAGATTTGCAAGCTCATTTCTCAGTGGCATTGACCGTTATCCGAAATATGGCAACACCAAATATTTATCTGTACCTTGACTTGACTTGGTGATGATTGATCTCGATTCGGCCGGCTCATATCATTCTTTGAGAGAAAGGGCTTCCACTTTCAACCACTGCTAGTTTAGTAAAGAGCTTCTTGGATGCAAAATATGTCAAGCCCCACCAATCACGAGGTCCAAAGGCTAAATAAATATTTGGTGCTGCCATATTTTGGAAAACAGTCGATGCGACTGAAAAAATGAGCTTGTAGACTTGCTACAAGGATTTTGCCCTTTCCTGTTCACTAGAATCACATTAGAAAGCTCTTTTACTGTCGCATCCTTCCTTAAGTTAAAGACAAGGTTCCCAAATGCTCAGCCTCTGCATTCATTTATAAATATTGTTGCGCTTCGTGTGGAGTATCTTATGCGAGTTCAAACCTTCGTAATTTGTATTGCAGAGTGTAGCAGCATTTTCGAATGTCTTACCGTACAAGCAACATTCTGGCTATCCCAGTCCCTCCGCCCATCCAACACCATTCATTTACGTGTGACACTTTAGCATGTAAAACTTTTCCATATTAGGACGTTCAAGCAAGTCTCTCGATCTTGGGATTTTAGAATACATTTCATATTTACCAACAAAAGTCATCATTTAATATCATGGGTCTAGATATCCTTTGCAAATTATAAGGTAGCCTTTTTCATATGGGGTCAAAAGGAGCTTTCATCACGTGATTTTTTGCATTTTCAATCTGTTCTGTTTATGCGCAGAAAGGTCGTGTTCATTTGTATGACTGTGGCCGTTGTTATGTCGAGCGATATCGGTTGAATGTTTTGATATTTAATTGCAACTTGGTTGAACTTTTACCATTGTTCTCGTCCTGATAATGGGATGCCACCTATGGAAACGTTGAAAATACTTGAATGGAACCGTTGGTTGCTGTCATTGCCACCAAGTTCTTACTACTCGCTATATATATATATATATATATATATATATATATATATATATATAAATGTATGTGTATAAACATTAATCATTAATGATAAATACAATGTTAAATATTATGTTTGAATCATTTCAAGCGCAAACTCATGTCAATAAGCAACGCGGCGCAACCAACCAATGCAGTTGACGGGCCTCAAAACTCTGTATTAAATCAGTAAGCTAACTAACTAACTGAACCATTCGATTGGGTGGATTTATGGGATCAGTGTTCACGCTAAGCAGGGCTCGTTACGTGAGTCCTGGCCCCACCATCTGGTCGTGACATTTCGGATCAACGGCATTATTCTCCGACAAAAGCTTAAATTGCCGTAATGCTCTGCCCTGCCGTCCAACCCCCTGACGTCATCTGACCTTTGGCGCGGCCGCTGTCACTGGTTGCGCACCATCGCAATCAGTGGCAAACAGCAAGCGCCTAACTCGAGCCCACCCCTGTAAGGGTGGGTGGATCGGAAGGCAGGCGCTCCAGCCAACTGAGTCACGGAACGTTCGTGAGTGAGTGTGTGTGTGTGTGTGATTGGGGCTTTACGACGCACTCGGCTGCTGAGGCTATATGGCGTCGCCTGCCTCTCACCCCGGCATGAAGGGCGGGCACCGCGGGGAATCGAACCCCGTACCTCTGGTTTCCCAGACACGCAGTGGTTAACGCAGACGTGTTAACCACCACACTACCGGCAACCCTCACAGAGCGTTCATCAACGCACAGGCCGGCCCATCCCGCGTCCGAACACCGCCCCTGTGTGCCCCGTCGGCCCGAGATCGTCGTCACCGTCCCGCAATGTTCTCTCCCGGCAGAGATCCTGCGCGTGCACGTGCTGAGCGGGCTGCAGTGCCGCGCCGGTCTGCCCGGGGCCGGGCTGAACGCGCGCCACGACGCCGTCTTCGTGTTCGGCCGGCGCGACGGCCGGCTGACGCTGGCGCCGCGCGCGCAGCGCTACGCCGCCGTCACCGTCGACGTCAGCGGCGGCGAGCTGGTGGCCCGCGACGGCGTGCTGCACGTGGTCGGACAGGTCATCCTGCCGCCGTTCGGTGAGACGCCCGTCTGTGGCGCCGGCCGCGCGCGCTGGGGCTTCCCGCTCGCCAGCGGGCGCCGTGTGGGCCTTTGACCTGGCGCGGCCTGGTAACACGGGCTGGGGGCTTGGCGATCTGTTGATGGTTAAAGCGCATTAGCGGTGGCGATGTGTATAGCTTATCTAAGCGGCGAGGCGTTTAATGAGGTGGGAGCAGTCACTGAGGACATCCTCACTGGCCTCAATGTGGCAGCGTCCGGTATGGAAGCACAGGTCTTATCGCAGAAATTACACGCCTCTCGCCTTTTTGGCGAAATGGATAAGTAGCGAGACGCATCCCAATTCTACTAGACCATGTGCTCGACTTTAATCATTGCTCAGACTGTGGGAAAAGGGCTTTTGGTCCTTTGGGTGCTCAGTGGCTCAGATTTGCGAGAATGTTCCGCATATTATATGAATAGTGACACTGACAGTGGAGATGGTCCAAGGTAAAACGAAAATATTTGATCGGAGATTGCTATTGGCCTCGCTCCTTGCAAAATAGCCAGGGGAATGGAAGAAGGTGGAATTAATTTCTGTCTTTCCGTTCTCGTGGTTATTTTACGAGGGCTAAGGCTATTAGTACTGTTTTATCTGCGTGCATAGTGTTCATTGCAAATGCATTTTACAACTTACGTAAAAATGTTCGATCCTTCGCAATGAAAAAGGATCAAGTTTCAGAGCTAACTTGATCGCAGGCTTACTTAGATCACGTTTTAGAGTAAGCCAAGGGATGATGCTAACTGGAACTTATATTCTAGTTATATATGCATACTTTGGAATGCAAGCAGACTTGATTCTTCTGTTAATGTCGTCTGCATGAATAACTTCAAAAATCAATGCATTGCATAAGTTTTGTCTGGAGCAGCAGCGCTCCGGTAGGTGAGCATCTTCCTCAACACTTTGTAATGTGTACATTTCGTTTTGTAAAACTGAGAATGATTGAACGCTTCACGGCAACAGGAACCTGTCATCGTGCATTATTTGGCAAGTGTTTACGGAACTGTAATTATTGTCATCGTTCTGTTAACGAAACAAAACAAGCTTTGAAAACTAAACAAACATGATGTAATGCATAAGGTACTTATGTCTTCGTGCAGTTAAGTCAGTACTTTCTGGAATGTCTTAGGTATGCATATGTAAAAAACGTGTGTTGTACCCCTACGTGTTCATGTCAACACTGTTAAAAACGCAGGTAGCCCGGCTTTGTCTCAACCATTCGAAGATAAACTTTTATGCGTTTTTGTTAATATGCCAACGTACGCAAGGATCATGCCATCTCCCCCCCCCCCCCCCCGAACCTCCCTGCTGACCAGATGAGGAAGGGCAGGAGTCCCGACCAGCCGTTGCTGATTTAACATGAAAAGTGTGGTGACCTTTTTCTTTCCGTGACAGATCGGAGGGATGGGAAATGGTACTTTTTGGTTATTGTGCGTAACATGTACCGGCATTCTGATCGCATTGTTCGTAACCTATGCGCTTGGAGCGAAATGAGCTCACGGTGGGTCACTATCCAAGGCATTTTGATTGACTAACTGCACTTCAATGCTGACGTCGGTCCCACATTTCACACTGGAAAGCAAGATTCCCCGCCCAGACAATCGTAAAAATGGTTCAACTAGGAGAAGCGGGCACTGATTTTGGATCTTATGCAACGGAAAAGTCCGAGTTCAACACCGGCAGCACGCTGTCCTGCACCCACCATGGCAGCGAGTCATTCAGTAGCTCGGCGTATTTCATCAGATTGCAGCGGAAAAGTCCCGATCTAGGAAACGTCCTGGCCTGAAAAACCCCAGATGAAACCGTTCCAGCGACATCACATCTGGCTGCGTGAAAACCTGAGCACTTATCGGCTTAGTGTCAGTCCCGTCGACCTACCGTTCCTCCCCCCCCCCCCCCCCCGTCGCCCGGCGCGATTGGACGCACTGCGGCAAGGTATTGTATGCCGCGTTGGTATCTATTATCCCCGCTGCATGCCATTTCATTACACATTTTAATGTATGCCATAGTCTAAGTCGTATTCAGAAATACATTGCAATGATTGACGGATGCCGTGCAGCGTACATACCCATAACGTATCCCATGAATTAATTCCGTACTCTCATGCTGTAGTTTACATGGCGTGCCATCATTGGCTGCAACATAGTTCCAATGCAGCGAACTTCGCCCGTTGCCGGCCCTCACCCTCCGGGCGCCACGCATTCTCGCTGTTGCTGGCGGCTTCCCGTCTGCAGTGTTGGCGTAAGTCAACGACTGCGCGGCGCCGGGATCTGCTCGACCATGCTGCTACCCCGGGATGTGTTCCCGGGTGGGAATGCAAGCGTGACTGGAATTGCAAGCGGATGGGCAAAAGCCTCGTTTGCAGCGCGGTGTGCCGGGCCCTGCCTGCCGAGTGAAGCGATTCGCACCGGGGAGATGCGTCCGCCGTTGTATGGCGCATTTGCACAGACACAGCGATAGCAGAGAAGGAACCCGGTCTGCGGGCCCACAGAAATTGCATCGCATCTTGCCGGCGGTTCTCCTACTCGTGGGGACGGCATATTGAAATGTTTATATTCATACCCGTATCTTGTTGGCGATTCTCTTGTTCGTGGCGACGGCATGTTTATATACTCATATTCATACCCATATCTTCTCGGCGGTTCTCCTGCTCGTTGGAGCGGCATGTTTATGTCCTCATACTTACACTCAAACCTTGCCGGCGGTCCTCCTGTCCGTGGGAAGGACACCTTTATATTTCATTCTTGTCAAGGGCAATATCTCACACATCATATGGTTGCATGGAACAACGAACGCTCGCAACAAATGTGTTTCCAGTAGCTGGCGATTGCGAACAGGGTCGGCCTCGAGTGGATCCTGGTGCTCACAGTTCAAACACGCTATACTTGAGCGGAGTGGTCTGACCCGGCGCCGTCTGGACTAGTCGTCGCACTTAAGTGGAGTCAATTTGTCGCCACCACTGCAAAGCATCCTTGTGCAGTGTCCAGTAACAACGCAAGCAGTCACTTAAAGGCTGTGCAGTAAACGTCCGGGGTAGTTTTAGCGAAGTCATGTTGTCAGCCTAGGTTGCCCCACAATATTCCACTGCGAGCAGAATGTAGCCCTTCCTATTCAGTTGGCATGGAAGATGCAAAACTAGCCAGTTCTGGTAACTCTGCGATACGTGAGTCAACACCAGGCTCAGATTACACCAAGCGGGCGCCGCAGCGTCACCAGACCCGCGCGTGTTGATGGCAGACAGAATGGAAAATCGCACTAGAAAGGAGTAGATCGATGTGCGCAGATGGTTACACACTTGAGCGCAAATCGAACACCAACGTTAGGGGGGGGGGAGGTTCAAGTACTGGCATCAGATGTTGTGTTTATTGGCAGCCAGGGATTATAAATGTGTGCAATCAACTGCACAGCGTTGGCGAATGTCCCTGCATACAACAAATAAAAGTATTGCTGATCTACGCCTGTGGATCGCGAGGCTACGCTTGCATAATAGCGTCGTTTGGCCAGAATACTCACATAATGCTGTCAGAATAAAAACTCTGAATTTCCTCTTTATGCCAGAAAACTAAGGGCTCAGGACCGGTCTTGCATATGTCAAGCTTACTCGTTTTGTGTAAATATTTGGGTTCGAGATCCCAGGACGAGTGCCTCAATCTTCGGGAAATCCGGACAAAAACTGCAGCTCACACCAAACAATTTGTAAAAAATTCCGTTTTATTATTGAGCAGTTGTGAGACCACACCCAATGGTTCTGGATTATTGTGAAAATATACAGTACAAAGGTGTGTTCTAAGTTAGGGCGCTCTAGGTTTGATTTACTAGTTCTATGGGACTATGCTGAATTGTTTGCTAGCGTAACACTAATTTGGATTTTAAATACATTTACTATTGTAGCATCTGCGCTTGGCTATCTTCAGTTACTACCTGCCAAATGTTCAGTACCAACCAAAAATCTAGTCTTCATTGCCCATTTAGTGTATTGATTAGTTTCATGCCGCGGTTATTGCAGCGAACTTTGCTCTACGTTCGCATCTATTACCCTAGTGCTCAAAGTCACGACCATGGCCTGCTCGTGGTCACTCACGGCCATGAGCGCAGCTTGAAGCGTTGAATATCAACAGTAAAATCAATGTTTGCTTGATGCCGTTGACTTACCTGTACCTCCTGGCATTCTGAGGGCCGAAACTTCCAGCCTGGGAGCTCTGAGCTTCTAGTGCCGAAAAGCCACGAGCACGAAGCCTGTCTTGTTTTTGCCAAGCTGGTGTTTCGCGAATCTCGCGCGGAGCACGGATCGTTTTGCGAATCTCGCGCGGAGCACGGATCGTTTTGCGAATCTCGCGCGGAGCACGAATCGTTTTGCGAATCTCGCGCAGAGCACGGATCGTTTTGCGAATCTCGCGCGGAGCACGGATCGTTTTGCGAATCTCGCTCGGAGCACGGATCGTGCGCAGATGCAACAGAACCTCCAGACAATCCGATGTCATGGGAAGCCCCGGAAACGACGCGGTTTGAGCTGCGGAGCGAAGGTGTCGTTCTCCGAGAGCGTCGGAGGACTGTCTTACGGGAGCAAACTGTACAAGTGCCATCATTTCCAGCGAGCTAATTTGCTCCATGTCCCTCCGCCATGGCACGTGTAGTAGCCTAGTTGCTCCATTCATTATGATCGCCGGCTCTGCCACTGCACCCGAGATCATTTGAGTGTGTTAGCGCACTGATGTCACCTTGAATGGACTAGCCCTCTGCGGTGAGATGCACGATCTGTTGCAGCTTTTCTGTCGACCTGGAGATATGTCCTTTTGCACTTGCACTTTTCTGCACTTTTCCACTTGCACTCGCACTTTTCCCGGATTTCCTGTGAGCACAAAATTTAGCCTCTTGCAAAACACAATTGACTATATTATTAGCATGCAGGACCATCGAACTGGACGTGCTGCATCTCCTATGCAGAATAATCCCAGGGCCACTCAGAAAACCCATCTACGA